TAACAACTTTTCACAATCTTATTAATCTGTGTTTTCAAAGACATTGTCAAGTATCACACCCAAACTTTTTGTGGAGTCAACAAATCTAATGCATTCTTTGTTAACAAAAGTACCTTTAAATAATAATATCGTTTTGAATGTTTGGTGGTGCCATAATTAATATTTTTGTTTTCGATTGGTTAATGCATAAGAATGATTCTCTCATCCATTTAGATATGTATCTAAGAGATTCTGGTATATCCAGAACTAATGCATTATATTGCGAAGAAGGAAAGAATGCTTTGAGAATTTGATGATTAGTTTATTAGTTTAATTTATTAGTTTATTTCGCCGTCAAAAATATTTACAAAGTACAACAATATAAAAAGTACAATTGGCTGGAGCAATAAGGCATAAAGTAGCCTTATCACCGAGCCCCAATAGTAACGCAAATAAATATCCGTAATACACAATAATCCGTAAAAAGTATTTAAAAAAAGACAATTTAAAATGTTAAGAAACAAAGTTAAAAAGAAAAAAAAGAAAAAAAAAAGTATTAAAATAATTGAAGATAAATAAAAAAAATAAAAAGAAATGATTAAAATATAGTAATAAAAATGACAAAAATTTTCTGTTTTTGGTTATAAATTATAAAAATAATATTATTTGCATATATTATTTTCTTTCAAAATAATTCAAAATTCAAATAAAAATTCTGTTCCAATATTATAAAATATATCAAGAAAATTGTAGGTAACTTTAAGAGAATATATATATTCAATGAAAGTATGATAAAGACATTGAAATTCTTAGTACTGTTAAATGGTCTAGATTTTTAAATTTATGGTTCTAATTTAGTTTAATAAATTTTAAAGCTTTAAAAGTGACATAGAAGATCTGCTATATTAAAATCCGTAAGTACTAAATAACGTCTTAATTTAGATTTGAATTGCGGAAGTGTTTTTTCTTTAATATTAACAATATGCTGAAAGTTTTTCCACAAAATTGGACCCCTGTACTGAATTGAATTAGAACATAACTTTAGATTATACTTTTGAGTTACAAAGTTATTTTCATGATCATCTGAGTATCCAAAAGTTTTAACATTGATTATGTTGAGATGTTTGTACAGTGGTCTCATATAGATATTAAATAGTTTTGGACCCAGTACTGTACCTTACGATGCTCGATATTTGATACTTTGGTTTGTAGAGTATGAGTTACCAGTTTTAACATTTTGGGTACGATTAACTAAAACTGATTCCAACATTGTGAGATGAATCCATTATGTCTATTTCACTAGTTAATAGCCCAAGTAGTTTTTGTTTATCAATAGTGTCAAAAGCAGCACTTAGATCAAGTAACATTAGTACTGAAGCTGTATTCTTATCAAAGAGTTTATATATATCATTGGTAAGCTTCAGCATAAGTGTTTCAGTGGAATAATGTTTTTTGTATCCATTTTGATATTCTATATGAAGATTTTTTGTTGTCATGTGGGAATCTAGACGATTGGAAACTATTCTTTCTATTAGCTTGCTAATGAATACTAAATTGGAAACTGGTCTATAATTTTTGAATTTTTCTGTATCTGTGGTGACAGATTCTAACTTCTTTATTATTGGAAGTAATGTAGCACTTTTTAGACAATTCATGCTGCTTGATTCTAGCGATAGGTTTACTATTTCCACCTATTTTCCACTATTTATTTTTATAATGTATTGGTATAAAATAATTATTATTTTCCCCCTAGCAACGCTTTGTTTATTCCGTTGTTATGCGCTTCAGAAACAAGTTAAACCATAAAAAAATCATAAAATACTTACCTAGTCAACTTTTTTAAGTGCAAAGTTGTAGACTGCAACAACTTCTTGTTAATTAGTTTCGTACGATGGCTTTACTGACGTAATTCGCTTCTTATTTCAAGCTACATACAAACATTGTTTATGCTATAGTATATTTTATATCTTTTTAAAATATAAATAATATGAGTGGGTCAAAGAGAAAACAATTATCAAACAGAATATACATTAATAAAAAAGCAAAACTTCGTGGAATCAGATACAAAGAATCCTTCTTCAGAAACAAAAACTTTATCTTTTGTTGAATTTGCTACACATTCTGCTTCTTCAAAAAAATTAAGTATTGCTGATAGATATTCTCAAGATTTTCAAAGTACAGATTTTAACTTTATTATGAACTTTAGTCTGTTGGAAAACGTTATATCGCTACTGAAATGCCCAAATTTGTGTGAAGATGATGTTTATTTAATGTTTGATTGATCAAAAAAGTATTGGTTTAAAAATATGTTGTAACAGTTGCAAATGGAAAACAGAGTTTTTTTTTCATCTGCTAGATTTTGTAAAAAGAATTTAATTGAACAACAAGAGCCTAGTAAAAGCAAATGTAGTGGAGAATAAACCATTTGATATTAGCACAAAATTTTATGGAATAATGAATATGAAGCCAATTATGAACAAAAAAAGCTACAATAAAACTTTACACAACCTGTTAGATGTTTATCAAAATTTATTTGACCAGAACATGAAAAATGCTGCTGGTGATTTAATCCCTGCAGGTGAAACATTAAGAGACATTATGTGTACCTTTGATGGTTCATGGCAAAAGTGTGGTTTTTCTTCAAATAACGGAGCTGTTTCTGCAATTTAAGTTGAAAGTGGTAAATGTATTGACTTTCAAATAGAAACAAAAACATGAAAATTATGTTCAATATGAAAAATAAAAAAAAATACACGTATCCAGTTGAATATGAAAAGTTCCAGTCATCACATTACTAAAAGTGTAAAATTAGTCATACTGGATCATCATCGGCTATGGAATCAAGTGGTGTTTTAAAACTTTTTCATCGTTATGAAAAGAAAAATAATTTAAGGTACACCACATATCTTAATGACGGAGATAGTAGTTCTTATACCAGTGTTGTTGCTGCTAAACCTTATGGACATAATGAAGAAATTAAAAAAACAGAATACATTGGTCATATTTAAAAACGAGTTAGCAGGCGTTTAGGAAATTTAAAAAAAAACAGCAAAGAAATTTTAAGGTGGTACTAAAGCTAATATTAAAATGTTAAATAATGTATTAAAAAGATGCAAATTAGAAGTTTTATAAAAAAAAAAAAAAATTTTTGAAATAGTTTGTAAATAAATTTTTGTTTTGCCTCGCTTACCCAAATCTAAAATCACATAAAAAGAAAAATACGCAGAATGCAGTATCTCAAGTTAGGGTCATTTATTTGCTACAAAACTTTACAATAACATAGGTCCCATAATGATGTAAGAGTTGTACTAGAATCATCTACTGTATGCATATAGTTTAGAGTAAACTTCACTCCTAAACTATATGCATACAGTATATGGATCCATAGAGTTTAGGAGCAAACTTTACTCCTAAACTATATGCATACAGTAGATGATTCTAGTACAACTCCTACATCATTATGGGATAACCTATGTTATTGTAAAGTTTTGGAGCAAATAAGTGACCCTATTTTGAGATATTGCATTCTGCGTATTTTTCTTTTTATGTGTTTTTAGATTTGGGTAAGCAAGGCCAAAATTTTTTTTTTTTTATTTACAAATTATTTTAAAATTTATATATTTTATTATTTTTTATATAAAACTTCTAATTTGCAACTTTTTAATACATTATATGACATTTTAATAATAGCTTTAGTACCATCTTAAGTGATGGTAAAAATACCATCTTAAGTGATGGTAAAAAGCTAGGAGGAACAGGTCGTTTGACAGAAAATGTTATTAACACATTGCAAAATTACTATGGCAAAGCAATCAGACAGAACATTGGTTATATGCAATGAAAGAAAGTTTTACGATTGCTGAAAAAACCCTCGACAGTTATTCATTTTTAGGCTTTTGTCCATCAATAGTTATGCGCATAATCATTTTTTTTTTAATTTTACAAATTTTACTTTTATCATAATATGTTATGCACTATTAAAAAATGAAAAAAAAGTTGAAATGCAAGATTTTTTTTTAATGGTATACTACCACCTTAAGCGAAGTTAAAACCTCAATGATTTTTTAATCGTAAATATAGGTGATGAACAATTTTTTTTATGTAACATAGTTTGATAGTTCTTACATAGTTAGAATAGTAGGGAGAGAGTGGGGAGAAGTGACACGTAAATTTTTTTAAAGGCTAGTTGGAATCTTTTTTATTTAATGTAAAAACTGAACCAAACAAGTTTTTACGAATAAACCTTTTTAATTTTTAAAAACCGATTCAATTCCCTTAAGTTTCTAGCTAATTGTAACTAAGAACATAAATTTTTGCTTTTAGAGAAACCGTGCCATTGGGGTAAAGTGGGACAAGTGTGAGTAGAAGTGGGACAAATAAATTTAAAGCAACATTTTAACACAAATTATTAAATAGAAACTGATTAAATCATAAAATCACCTAATCGACATAAAAAAATTCAAGAGCTTTCACCAATCGAAATAATCAAATGGCGACGGGGAGAAACAGGCTATAAATATTTCTTTTTTCTGTCCCACTTCACACCAATGTAAACACTTTTTAAACAAAGCAATTTTTGCTAAATAGAGGGGAAGAAATTTAATTGTTTACATTAAATAATATTTAGGGCACCACTCTTAATTAGAAATTTCAGGCTTCTTTCAAATACCACTTTCTCCCCACTCTTCCCTACCTTTTCGAATACTAAAAAAAGATTAATTATGGAAAAAACTAAACTAGCTTCTTTTAAATTCGAACTTGATGTTATTTATTAAGAATTTTAAATAGAAAAATTAGCAAAAGAAATAACTGGATAAAAACTCTACCTATTAAATTCTAAAATTCAATGTTAGATTTAATAAATTAAATCTAACATTAAATTCTAAGTCTTCTGCTAATCTATTATACTTAAATGTTAAATAAAAAAAAGTAATAAATACATAAATAATAACTAAATAAAAATATCATAAATAATAAATTTTCAGTAAAATTTAGAGTAAAAAATGAAAAACTAATGAAACTGGCTTTTTGTATTTATTTATGTAACCGTTTAATTATTTATGTAACCGTTTAATTATTCAATCATTAAACCGTTTAAAAATTTTAAAGATAAATAAAGCATATTTTTTATACTTTAAAATTCTATATAATAATATGTACAAAACAGTTAAATAAATTTTTTCTGTCTCTCTGATTGAGCTTACTTGTTCATACTTTACTTGCATAACATGATGAATTTTCTTACTGACATGCTGAAAAAAGTTGAGGTTAACTACTTTCTACAAAACATCACTGTAAAAATTGCCTATAACGTTTGGATAATGAGTTTTCGTGCTTTATCATATTTAAATCGGTTGTTTGCAAATATATCGCTTTCGTAGAGATTAACTAAATTATGGATATTTATTTGTCGAGCCTGAAAGAAATATATAATTTTATGCACAAAGTATGTAAATATAAACACAAATATTTTTAAATCTATTTTTCTCCCTAAAACTCCACAGGGAGCCGCTAAGTCAAGAATCCTACTTATTTTCATAAAATAAATTCAACTTCCTAAAGTTGCAAAAGGGCGCCACTGTAGTCGAGAAGCTCATTTTTTCTTGAATTTTATTTGCTACTCACTCTTAACACTGAATTCTGAAACACAAACCTTACACAAGACCGCTGCGTGGCACTTCCAGCAGAAGAAGAGGGTAAAAACACTGATAAAACATATACAGTTAAAAATTTAATATACCTTATCGGCAAACTCATCTTCCTGAATTTCTATAACTTCTGGTTCGCCACGATATCTATTTTTATGGTAAGTAATTTGGTCACGTACTAATTGCTTTAATACAAACATGAGAAGTTCGTTATTATCTTTCTTGAACGCCAAATAATGAGCAAACGACTAAAATTATAAAAAAAACCGGTGAATCGTGGTATCGTTTGTTGTTCATATTACTCAAAGAAAAATAACAAACCTTTCTCATGTTCCTCATGACAGAATATTTTTGAGTATCAATAAAGCTTTCTAACATTACACGAATGGCCATATTAACATCATCCTCATGTACATATTCACGCAAATGCATGCGGGCATGTGCTTCTGACATTCTTATCATTGACTCAATATGCCGAACAGTGATAGGAATACTTCCTGTTATCTAAAAAGATAAAATCAAAAAAATAAATAAAATCCAACAAATCACTAATAAAGTATTTAAAATTAACATTTTATTTAGTTAAAATATAATTTTACTCAAATATAATTCTTTGTTTTAAAATGAATTTAACACTAAAACAATAAAACTATTGCTAAGGATTAAAATATACCATTGATTCTTTTCGCAACGCAGCAAACATTTTGGACACTTTGTCTTGATCCATATTCAGGAGATTTGGTGTTACTTTATCTTTAGCATAAATAATATACTTTTTAAGCAAACTCTGAGGAATTAATTCTATTCCAGGATCATTCACGGAGGCCTAAACATTAATGCAAACTAAAAGTTGAATAATATATATAGTAATTTTGTACATTATATTTATACTTGTAATGTATTAAAACGTTAACTTTGTGTATTAGGAGAATAAATAATAAAGTAATGTACAATGTTATAAAAAGCAATAATATAAAAATATTATTGCTTTCTATAACATTGTACATTACTTTATTATTTATTCTCCTGATACACAATATTATACTTCATTTTACCTTTAGTAACTTTTTTGAGTTCAAACCTATATTTAGCTAAAAATTCGACTTTTTTTATTTTCTTTTCTTATTACTGAAAATTAGTTTATTTAAACTATTAGGCATTGAGATGTGAACTAAATTATAGGTTGCTTACATTAAAATTTAAGACACATATATAAAGCTGTTTATATGCAGTTGAGTTTTTGATACTTTGAACTTTTCCCTAGTCTCTTAGACACTCATTTGGGCCAAGATCTTCTAGAAATTTCAAAATTAATAGTACCTCAAAAATTTTTTCGTCCTTGAGTCAATTTCAAAGTTTAAAATTATTTATATTCAACAAAGGTTTTAATAGTTGCTTACTGCAAACAACTACCGTAATATGGTCAACTTTCCTATATTATTAAATGGCAACCCTCTTACTGAGTCCTCCTCTTTACGTCTTCTTGGATTATCGCTTACTACTGACCTTTCATGAAAATCATATATACAATCGATTGCTAAATTAGCTTCTGCTAAGGTTGCTTCTCTTTATCGTGCTCGCCATTTCCTTACTTCTGATTTCATTCTATACCTCTACAAATCTCTTATTCGTCCCTGTATGGAATACTGTTGTCATATTTGGGATGGTTCTTCTAACGATTCACTTTCTCTTTATGACAAGGTCCAAAAACGCATTGTAAATATTGTTGGACCTGGACTATCTGCTAAGCTTGAACCTCTTTCCCATCGTTGTAAAGTTGCATCTCTTTCTCTTTTCTACAAATACTATCATGGTCACTGCTCAAAGGAGTTATCATCTCTAGTTCCATCAACTAAAATTCATTCTCGTTTTACTCGTCATTCAGCTAAGTCTCATTCGTTTACTGTATCTGTCCCTGCATGCTCTAAAAACTTTTATTCATCTAGTTTTTTTCCCCACACTTCAATCCTTTGGAACTCTCTCCCATCTTCATGTTTTCCTGACTCATACAACCTTCAACTTTTCAAGTCTTCTGTCAACCGTTTCCTTGCTCTATAACTCTGTTCTTTTTTCTCCTAGTAACTCCCAACTTAATAGTGGTTGCTTGCAGCCTTGTTGGGAGTGAATGCAAATAAAAAAATAAATAAAATAAAATTAAAAAAAAAAAATTTTTATTCTTATTTCAAAATGTATTCTTTTCTTCAGCATTGAAATACCGAAAAACTTTTCTAGCTTTTCACGACGTTCTGGATTGAAGCAGAAAATGTCAAAAAGTTTTTTAAGGGATTCGTTCATAGAAATACATCTACTTAAAAAACATAACCTTGCTTGTTTTTGTCAACATCTTTTAAGTAGCGATATTCATTGATTTAACTTTGCAGACTATTTAAATTGACCTGATATGATATTGTATAAATATTACGCTGTATCCAAAGAACTTCTACTACCTTTGCAACTCTTCAACAAGCACTTTCAAAAGATAATTTATTGTTGACTTCGTTAAAGACAAGTTCAAGTACATCTCTGAGTAAAGGCAACATTGTTTGATAAAATTTATCAACTACAGGGAGACTTTCTAAAGGTGTTTGTTTATTTTAATTTAAACTTAGTTTGTTATTACGTCTTGTTACAATTTTTAATTTAATTGATATCTAAATTTAGTTAACAATAATAGAAGCAAAGTATTCCCTAGCAAAGTAAAACAAAAGCTTTTTTTTAAGTATTATGTTTTAACAAAAAAAGTTTTATTACATTTTTTTTCAAAACGCAACTATTATTCATTTTAATTCAAATTTATCCAATCAAAATTTAAATTGCATAAATGTTAACACAAAGTTGCATAACTTTATACGCAAAAAAAAAACTGCTGCAAAGATATTTCTTTTATATGGTTTTGTTTAAATCTTTAAAAAAGTTTAAATAGAAGTAGAAAGCTGACCACAAAAAAAAAATTAGAAAAAACTAAATTGTTTTTCAAACTTTTCTAAAAAAAATTAAGAATAACTGGTTAAACAAAAAATATAGAATTTTAGAGTCCCCCCTACGGTTCCTACTGAGTCCCCCCCTACTGTTAGCCTAAAGAATAAAATAGGCTAAAAATTTTTGAGTCTGGCCAAATGAGGGCAAACTTATTACTAAAAATGCTAATTAACATACATTACACAGAAAACAAGGTAAAAAAATTGCTTCGACTTTTAGATCAGATTTCTGCGAATCAGTAAAGTTGATTGTATTAGAAACTTTCAAAAGATGTTAAGAATTCTATACCAATTCAAAAAATATATAAAAATTTATCAGAACTGACCGGCTAAGGAAAATAAACCGATTTTTTTTGATACTATATACTTAACTTACATTACATCATTTACATTACTGAGCAATTATTATCGTGGATTTTATCTATTCTTAAGAGTTAGAAATATGCAACAAAAGAATTGCAAAAGTATTGAACTCATTCATTAAAAACAATAATAGAAATTTTAAAAAACTGGTGGTACTCTTCCTAAGTGATTTTTCAATACATTTATGAAAGTTATCAAATAGAAAACAGATTTTCCACAAGACCAAGAGAAACTTTAAAAATTATTTTAGTAATACAACTTTATTAATACTTATTTGAGTCATTTAAATAAAAAAATCTTTAGTTTGTCGAAGTTTTTACTTACACTTCTTACTTTTATGTGTATTGCCTTATTTTTATTAGGTTGAATTTTTAAAATACTACAAAGTATTTACATAGTCTAAACACTTGTCTTTAAGGATATGTAAAAATAAAAAAACTTTTAAAAATTCTTCAGTGCAATTTTTTAAATAACCAAGTTATTGGCAATTATTATTTTTACAAAATTTTAATTGAGACAAACCAAACTTTTCTAAAACCGATTGGAAGCTTAAAAAGAACAACAAAGTAATTTAAAAATTATTATAATAAATAAATTTAATATAAAATAATATTAATAAATTTATATGAAAAAATATGTACTCACATCTGATTCGACAAATGAAGTCATTATAAGTTAGAAAGATAATAATAAAGTAAAGAAAACTTATATATAAAATATAGAATTAAACTCTAACTGTTATAAAGATTAAAAAAATATATTTTTTTAAATTAAGAATTATAAAATACAAATAAAAATTTCCATATAGAGTATAAATAATAAATAATAGAGTAGAAAAATAAAAATACCAATTGATTGTCAACAGATTCATCTGAATAACCAGGATGATGCTTTACATGACTGTTAACAACAAATCTGGCTAGCATCTCATCTTGAACTGCATCAACAGTGTCTCGCACAACACATAAAATATCAAAACGAGATAAGATTGGCTCAGTTAAATCAACCTGAAAAACAAAATATGTATGTAAGAATGTATATAACTTCAGGTTATATTTGAATTTCAGGTAGAAAAAGATAGCAACAATTTTCAATATATATATATATATATATATATATATATATATATATATATATATATATATATATATATATATATATATAGACACACACACACACTCAAATATACAGGGGCTATTCTAGACCATTTTCGACAGCATTGACTGTATTTGGGCACTGCCCAAATTAAAATTTGAGGACTTTTTCTTTAATGTTTTTTTAAATGTTTTTGCGGCAAATATTGCAATTTTCTGCTAAAGTCCACTAAAACAGAGGAAGGGGTACCGTTGCCCAAATTTTTTTCCTAGAATAGGCCCTGATATATACACACACATATATATTCATATATTCTATAACATAAATTCAACAGAACTTGGAGATGAGCATTAAAACTTTCATAACAAAACAAGATTTATATTGTAAGAAGAACAAAATTTTATTCAGTTAGTAGTAAAATTGATTATTAGAAAAATTTAGGGTGCATTAAGTGCCCCATACTTTCAAAAATTGATATGTCCCTACTCTTAAAACATTCTATTGGTTCTCACAAGACACTGTTAAGTTTTTTGAAATTTGAATGAGATTTAGGGGGGAGGGGCACCTTATGTCTGAAACTTGCAACAAGACCCTAAACAAAAGAAAAAAAAGTTTTTTAATTATATGTCATGTTGGGTCTCGAAAGAAGCAAAATTTTATAAAAAATTCACAAATAATTATCATTTTTTGTAACCTTGTTACCATATTTTGAAATTTTTGTTAAAAAATAATAATTTTTATGCAATATAACTTAAAATAATAATTCTTATGTAAAATTTTTATTATAATTATTGAAATTTATAAAAAAATTTGCTTTTTTTGAGACCCTACATGACATAAGTTTGAAAAACTTTTTTTCCTTCTGTTTAGGGTCTCATTGCAAGTTTCAGACTTGAGGTGGCCCTCTTCAACATTAGAGTGTCTTGTGAGAACCAATAGAATGTTTTAAGAATAGGGACAGATCATTTTTTAAAAGTATGGGGCGCTTAATGCACCCTAAATTTTTCTAATAATCAATTTTACTACTAACTGAATAAAATTATATATATATATATATATATATATATATATATATATATATATATATATATATATCAGGGCCTATTCTAGACCGTTTTTGAGCATCACCCAAATTGAAATTCGAGGACCTTTTTTTTTTTAAAAAAAATCAATGAATATTGTTTTAAATTATTCGAAATTCATAATCTTTTCTACTGAAACATTAAAAAAAAAAAAAAAAAAAATTACAAACAAAATGTTATAAAAAACGATCTTTTAAATTTTTAGTTAATTGTTGTTTTATATAATTATGTTTAGGCAATTCATTTTTATTTGAAGATTTCTGGAATCTCTATGAAATTCTAGTTCTTTTGAGACCAAGGTTGATATACTTTTAAAGAAATAAAAAATTCACTGATATATGGGAGACACACTGGCAAAAAGGGTGACCTTTTACCAGTGTGTAATCATGGTAAGTGACCTTTTTTAAAAATTAAACAAAACCAATAACTTTTCAGTTAGAAATTTAAAACCAAAGTTCATCTGTTTTTTATATTGGAAGCTGAAGTTACCAATAAGTCACATCTGTAATATATATAGCCCTCGGAATTAGGAAAAAAAGGTCGGCAATAATTTGCCTACCTTAATCTGTGTGAGAGATCACGTTGGCAGAAAAAAATGGAAAACAAAGGTTTGACCATAAAACATAGAAAAGAGGTAGGGATTATTGCAGTTTAGTTTTTGTTGCTTTTGTGCAATTTAACTTTCATTATCATTCATTTTTTATTTCAAATTAGGAGCAATATGATAATATAACTTGACTAATTAATCATGCTCTGATTAATTAGTCAAGTAAAAAAAAATTTAAACAACTCTTTTTAAAATAAAAAAAATAAAATAAAAAATAAAATAAAGCAATTAAATGATTGCATTGCAACTGAAGGTTTAAATTCAACTTACTCATAATTCAAAGCAGCTTAAATAATTATCTTTTCAAAGATTTTTAGAAAGAAATGGCAAATAGTTTCAAATGTTTAAATTTATTATAAAAAATGGATGCCAACATAAAATTTTTTATATGTAACATTATTTGTTAATTTATGCAAAATGCTTTTTTTTTTAAACAATCACTATAATTAATTTTTTATTTTATTAAAAACCTTCCCATAAAATAAAAACTTTAAAAAAGATAACGATTAAAAGTTATTCATAACATAACAATTTTTTAAATTGCATTTAAATTGTTAAAACAATAAAACCGCCGTGGTCAAATTGTAATAAAAAAAACAAAAACCAAAACAAAAAAAAACGTGATCAGTTACAGTTACGTGTGATCGAACACCATTCCTTTCCATTTGAAAAATATATATACTTTTAAAAAATATTTTCAACTTCATAAAAGGTATGGTAAATTGTTATAATATTAAATTAAAAATTGATTTTATGTTATAACTTATATTGTATGTCCTTTTTAAAGACCAACATTATTGTAGGCTGTCTTTACAACAAAAACAACAAAAGTTTAGCAAAAGTTTAACAAAAGTTTATAAGTATTTTTTTTAGTTATGCAGTCATATAATAACTTATTGCATGTTGCAGTAGTAGGATTAATAATGGGTAAAGTAAGTGTTTCCAACATAAATTAGCTAAAGTAGCTGTTCTTATGTAAGAAACAGATTGCACCCAATGAAGTATTGTTGAACTTTTTGGGAGATCAGGCTGCTGTGGTACTAGAGATGACAAAAAAAAAGTCCTAAAAAGTTATCAAACAAAATTATAAGATGCCAGCAATTAAACTGAAAGCATTTTGAAAGGCTAATCATTTTGAAAGACATATCACTTGGATCTTTGAGAAGGAAAGTTACAAATTAAGATTCTTATATTCTTACAAGAAAATTACAAATTAAGTGTTGAAAATCAAGAGGCTGAAACTTATCCCTGCAATAATTAAGAAACAATTTGAGCTTAGAATTACTCTACTTGATGACTGAAATTAGGTAAATTTTCTATTTGCTTACCTAATACACTTAAATAAATTAATTTTTTCATTATTATTAGATATTTCAGTACTTCAAGAAGTCCTAACAGTCTTATCACATAGCACCATGGAATAGCATTTAACCAGGATGTTCACACCTCCTTCTTTAACAATGATATATAGCCAGAACCGGCTTAGAACCACGGACATCCATTTCTGAAACCAGAACTTTAACCACTACAACATGGCAGCACATTTTATCAGTTTTCAAAAGATATTTTTGTATTACCCTGATTGATTTTACTATTATTTGAAAAACTATTAAATGTTAAAATTGACTGCTTTATTCAGGTGTGTGTGTGTGTGTATATACATATACATACATACATACATATATATATATATATATATATATATATATATATATATATATATATATATATATATATATAAATAAAAATAATGGTATGTAAGTAAGAAAGTGTATGTATGTATGTATGTATGTATGTGTGTGTGTGTGTGTATGTATATATATATATATATATATATATATATATATATATATATATATATATATATATATATATATATATATATATATATATATATATATATATATATATATATATAACACGTACACAACTGAGCACTGAACTTTTCTACTTTATTTATTACCATTTTATACATCAAACTCCATAGTTATTATAGAAAGACTAAAATGTTTTGCCACCTTGACTTTTTCAGTCAAACTTGATTTAACTGATTTCAAACCTGTCCAAGTTTCTAAAAATGTGGGTCTGTTTCAAAAAAAATCTTAAGTTAAAATCTGCTAGTTTTCATTGCAGAAACATTGTGAGAGAAACATCCTAATTTTTCAGTACTGACACATGTAAAAAAGTTGTTGCTAAAACAGTGTTTGATCCTTAAACTTCAAATGAAGCAAAGTTTATTTTTTTAAAATCAGAAGCAATAATTTTTATTACAGACCAATAACTGCTTGAGATTTTCCTTTATTTTAACAGTGCAGGTATTTGGATATGCTATTCCTTAACCAACTGGCTGCTGAATTGCAAATTTTAGCACCATTTTTAGTGTAAGATAATCTTGTCTTATGATAACAAACTTTAACACCTAATGCTTATTATTACTGTTTCAAGAAAACAAAACAACATAAACCTTTAACATTATATTTTTGAAAATAAACGTTTCAAGAAAACAAAACAACATAAACCTTTAACATTATATTTTTGAGAACAATAAAAAAGACCAAGCAAACTTTATTTCTACTACTACTTCAGTTCTAAATTTTCATATAAACCTAAAAGGGTTAACTTTGAATTTGAAATTTGAACTAAATTAAAAGCAGTCTTGATTATAAATTAAAAACTTTGAATTTAAATATGAGTTGGTTAATTTGATTTGAGTTTGTTGAAAACTTTAACAACTTTTTGTTGCCTTAACATTTTTTCAAATTTTACAGTTTTATTTATTAATTTATTATTATTTAGATTATAAACTAATTAAATAAAAATTTGGTTTTGTCTTATTGCAAAATATATTATTTATATTAGAAGCTGATGGTTGGTATTCATGGTAGTTTTACAGATGATTTGTTATTTAATGGGTAAAGTTTGGTATTTATTGATTTGGTTTTTTATGCACACCCTGGCAATGATAATAAGATTATTTTTGTCATTGCAGTTTTTATCAAACAAGTCTATGACAAAAACATTTCTTATTGCACGAAATAAAAATTCCTGGAGCACGTCAATGATAATATAAGGATTAATGTTTGAATTAGGTTTTAGTTTAATACTAATAATAGCTTCTTTTTGTTGTATTTGAAATTCAAAAGTTCCATTCACTGTGTCTGTAATAATGATGATCGAATAATATAAACACATAAATAGGAAAGTAATATATTTACTACGATATATTTTTATTGTAAACAACTTAAAAGTTTTTCAAATTTTTTTTGTCCAGAAACAACTTATGCAACTATAATATTAAACTTATTTATTCAAAGTTTAGTTTCAAATGTTTTTTTGTTCTCCCTTATTCTAAATTTTTAAGCAAAGAGCAAGTGCATCACTTCACATTGTTATTGTACATCAATAACAATCTGAAGACCTTTTTTAAAAGATGAATTTAAAAATATGTGTACATGTGTATATATATATATATATATATATATATATATATATATATATATATATATATATATATATATATATATATATATATATATATATATATATATATATATATATATATATATATATATATATATATATATATATAGCGCTCAAAATAGTGGCCAATCAACGATCGTCCACTTTAGGAAAAATTGACATTTTAATCACTTAAAATTAAATCTGGCCGATCAAATTTGATCGGCAGAAGTTGTTTGTCAAACTTTTGTAATAATACAAAAACATTTTAAATACAGAAAGTTAAAATTTAAATAGTATCACAATTATTTTGAAATAAATTATATTCTAAGTAAAATAATGTAGGTAAAAACGGAAAAACAAACAACTTATTTAAATTCTGAATAAAATAATTTAAAAAAAAACAGCAAAGTTTTATTATAATTCTAAATAAAATGAAAATGGCAAAACCATTTGTTTATTTTCTATAATAAAATAAAATAAAAACGGCACATTGAAAATTAATTTATATTTTATATAAAATAATTAAGATAAAAACGGAAAAACAAACATATTTATATTCTAAATAAAATATATATATATAAAAAAAAGCAAAGTTTTATTTTTATTCAAAATAAAATAATTAAAATAAAAACGACATTGGATTTATTTTAATTCTAAATAAAATAACTTAAAAAAAATAGCGAAAGTTCTAAATAAAATCTAAATAAAACATTTGCTTAAATTCTGAATAAAGTAACTAAAATAAATATGGCAAAACTAATGTTAATTTAAATTCCAAACGAAATAATTAAAATAAAAACGGTAATGTTTTACTTATATTCAAATTAAAACAAAAAACAAAAACAAAGAGAAGATATATATAAACTCTAAATAAAATAATTAAAATTAAAACAGCAATGTATCATATATACTCAAAATAATACAAAAAGAAAAACGACAAAACCAACGGTATACTTAAATTCTAAAAAAAATCAATAAACTCAAAACGGCAAAATGAACGACTTACTTAAATTTTAAAGAGAATAAATAAAATTATAATTACTTAAAAGTTATAAAATTATAACGGCAAAACAAAAATCATGTGAGGTAGGATTAAAAAAATGCATTGTAAATTTTAGTAAAATTTATCAAAAAATTGATTGTCTAAAAAAGTAATTGATTGCCTGCTTTTTAATTATTTTATTTCAGCCGATCATGTTGATTGGCAACCTTTGAATAATTATTTCGAGTGCTGTATATATATATATATATATATATATATATATATATATATATATATATATATATATATATATATATATATATAAATAAAATATACCTCACCCTAATATCTGGCATTTGCGTAAATTGTATTAAACTACGTTTTTAAATATAAAATATAAATAATCAAAATAGTCATTAGATTAACAGCTTTAATGTCAACATCGATTCGCTGATAAATTTCAATTATATGCTTTATTTACTAACTAATATAAAGAATAAATTCAAACTTCTTTCTATATTTCTTCTCCTTTGAGTATCCATTTTTGTGGGTATTTGCTAGAGAAGTGTTACAACTATAACATTTATCATTTAATATATCTATATTAATCATTTATATATAATATTCATATATAATTGTGTAAAAAATATATTTTTATTTCTTTTAAATAGACAAAAAGATTTATTACATAGCATATTTATTGCATAGCTAGGCCATCAATTCACGTTAATAAATTTTTTTGTTGTTCTTCTCTTTCTTTTTAACTCAAGTTTTTAGCATGTTTTATAATGCTATTTTTTAAATCTTTTATTTATTTTACTATTTAAATCGTTTATTTACATTTTCACTGCAATTTTACTTTTATTTAAAATGAGAAAGTTTTAGACTTACAGAATTTAATCGCAATGTAAATTATAGTTATGATTTCATATGCAAAGGAGAAACTCATAATAAGTGTATTTCAAAACAAGTTAATGTTTTTATTAAAAAAATAATAAAAATATAAAATCCTAAGCGTTTTATATTTTAATCTAATCAAAACATGTGTTTTACATGTTAATCGTAACATATTTCACATTTCATCCACGTGAATTTGAATTAAGCATTCTGATTGACTTGAAATACATTTATAATCTGTTTTAAAAATAATTTTGCTTTTTCTAAATAATATAATGCTATTTTTAAAATCTTTTATTTGTTAGTAACAACTTTGTAATTATTATAACAAAATTTTTTTTTGACTATCTTTTGTTTTAAGTTTGGGCAGAAATTTGGGGTTCATATTGGTATACCGTTATAAAAATCAGCCTGGATACGCTGTAGCATATATACATATATAAAGTATTTTTGAATTCAAAATCCCAGCAAACACATAAAATTTCTTCACCTTAAATTTCGCTTAAAGATGTTGAGAAGATGCAATGTATTTGTTGTGATACTATACAAAAACAATTAAAAAAAACTAATTTTTAATTTTTTACCCACATTTTCAGCAAATGTTAATGAAGAGTCATATCTGCCTCCTATAGGATTAGCTGCAGCTATAATACTACAACGAGCCTTAAAAAAAAAAAAAGAGTATCAGACAACTTCAGATTGATAAGAAATTCAATACTCTTTTAAATGTAATAAAAAAAAGTTTACCTGAAGAGAAGTGACAATACCAGCTTTTGATATTGAAATACTCTGTTGCTCCATAGCTTCATGTATACTTGTACGATCAGCGTCATTCATCTTATCAAACTCATCAATCATACAAACTCCTCTGTCAGCCAATACCAATGCTCCAGCTTCTAAAGTCCATTCTTTAGTTACAGGATGTCGTTGCACGTAAGCTGTTAAACCTACAGCACTTGCTCCTTGTCCTGTTGTAAACACTGGTCGTAATGCTGTTTTTTCTACATACTTAAGAAATTGAGACTTGGCAGTTCCTGGATCACCACACAAAAGAATATTTATATCTCCTCGAAGTTTATGTTTACCACCTGCATACGGTAATAATTAAAAAAAAAATGAAAACTGCTATCAAGCAAACTATAAACTACTTGGTAGAAAATAACATAATTTGTTATTAATTATATTAGAAGAAATTATATTATTATGTAACTATTGTGTTAAATTTATCAAACATTTTAACTTTTTCATTTGCCAATAAACGCATATATGACCAGAGTTATTCTAACAAAGGGTTAATTAACTCAAATTTACCAGATGGTGAAATATTTTCCAGAAAAAACAACAAATTTACAGTAACAAAAATAACGAACTTCTTTATAAGACTCTCATAACTATTATGTTTTAAATATTATTTGTATAAAACAGATACTAATCCAGTTAATACAAATATAGGATAAAAATACTTATGTTTTATGCTAAAATTAATATGAAATAAAAATAAGGCAAATCTAAGCATTTTTTGTTTTAGAATTTAGTTCAACTATATAATAAATTTTTTAATACAGATATTTATAAAACTCTAAAGAATGTTTGCACTACATTTCTTCGATTTTTATAGTTACAGAAAATGCAAAATCACAATCAATGCCTAATAGAAGGGGTGTGCAACTAAATACCAAAAACAGTATATACCCATTGGAGGAACTGTTGCTACAAATAGTATACTTTTCAAGATTGCTAAATGGCTTTAAAATTACAATTCGTATTTTTCAATATCATAATTTGCCTATTGTCTAATCTAATAAAACTTATAAAAAAAAAAAAAAAAAAAAAAAAAAAAAAAAAAAAAAAAAAAATCTGAAACCTAAATAGTTCAGAAAAGTTAGATAAAAACATAAGGATAATTTCTTTAAGCACAATAGCAGTAAACCTACTTCTTTAGCTAATTTTATTGTCTACTAAGTAGCCAAGAAAATTAGTGAAAGAAGCACATAGCCATTTATAATACGTATTACATTTTTAATAATTTGTCATTACCCTTCAAAAAACTTTTCTCATCTTCTCTTATCTCTAATGATTTATAACTCATTCATAAAATCACAAAATTACAACAACAGTTGTAATACAGAAGAAAAAAAAGAAAAAAAATTTTTTTTATTTATTTTCCTATATTCATTAATGATGAAATTTACGATTTATTAATTTTTTAATTTTATAATGGTAAAATAGTTACTATGGTAAAATGGTTCAGGCATTGAAAACGGCATTAAACACAGACACACACAGACATATCAATAATAATAATAATAATAATAAAAAAAGGTTAGATAAAAAAAAAAAAACAACTTTTTCATGGTACTTAAAATTTATGTTATTTTCAGCACTCATCAGCCAGGCTCGGACAGGAAAGACATAACTGACCCAGCTATAACTGAATATGCTTATCATTATTTTTCTTTACAATTTGACCAAGCCTTTTTTAACAATTTAAATGCAATAAAAAATCATTACGTTATGAACAACTTTTAATCGTTGAACTTTTCTAAAGTTTTTATTTCATGCAAAGGCTTTAAATAAAGTAAAAAAAATTATTTATAATGATTGTTTAAAATAAATGCATTTTTTAATGTAAAGTAAATGTTATATGAAACTGTTTTTCATATAACATTTAATTTACATATAATAACTGCTTTTCCCTGAAGAAAAAAAGATTAAGTTTCTTTAAATTATGAATAAGGTAAATTAAAATCTTCTAGTAGCAAAGGAATGATTTTTTTGTTTTATTTATTTATTTATATTTATTATTACTTTTTCAAAACATGACTTTGATGAAATGATTAAAAATTATTATCTTAAAAAGATTATTATAAAGTTATTATAAAAAAAATATTTTTTTGCAACTTTTAAAAAAAATGTTTTTAGAGTTTCAAAACATTTTTTTCTTTTCAATAATTTAATTAAACTTTTCAATAATTTAAATGAAATTTGTTCATTTATTAAACAATCATTAGAAATAATTTGTAAAACTGTTTTGCGTAACTTTAATAAAACCTTGCAAAAGATAAGTTTGAAAGTAATTTATTTCTAACATAATTTAAAAACTTAACAAAAAGTAATAAAGTTTAAGTTTAGCTTAACTTTTCTTTTTTCAGTGCATTTTAAAGGGATCCCTAAGTGCTCCTAACATATAATCTCATATGAAAGAGCATAAAAAAAATATGTAAGTTTTTTTTCTTTTTCACTAAATTGTAATAATAAATGCATGCTAACAAAAAGCAATTGCCGAAATCACTAAAAAACAACTCCATTTTGATTTTATTTTTTCACCATTGAAACTCGATTGTTAGTCGTTAAAAATCATGTTAGTACGTCACAACAACTTTAGCATATCTACTTCGATTTTCAAGTAAAAAAAAGTCATGATTAAATAGTTAAGTTTTAATCAAGTTTTTTTAATTAGTTTTGCAAAAACAGTATAATAGCATTAACTTAAAAGACGTCGTTAAAAAAAAAGTTATAAGTAATAGTTTTAAATAGTTTAGAACTTAAAAAAAAGTCTTACAGGGCTCATATTAAGCGTATCGCGATCGCGATTGCTACACTCAATTTTGTGATTAGTTTTTTCTTGAAAAAAATCTTTTCACGACTCGTTTTTTTTTTGGTTGATTAATTACTTTTTTTCTAGCTTAGCATTTTTTTAGCAATTCTTAAAAGTAATCTTTTTATCATAAAGAACGTCACACAGAATTTATTATTCTGAATAGATAGATGTATAGATGATTTGCACTTTCGCGCGGAGATTTTCTTTTAACGTAAAACATTTTTGAATTTAAATTACTTTAAATCTCTGCGTGGAAAATTTTTACAGCGAAAAGTTGAAAAGTTGGTTTTTATCTTTGTTTATCAAAACTTCATGTTTAAAAGAAGGCTTAAAAACGTTAGAGCAAAAAAATTACTGACTTTTATTTGCATTTTTATACTGTTTGAAAAAAAAAACTAATAAAAAAGAAATAATATATAATTATTTATTAATATATTATTAGTTAATTCTTCTTTATTAGTTTTTTTTAAACAGTATAAAAATGCTAATAAAAACCAGCAATTTTTTTACTTTAACGTTTTTAAGCCTTATTTTAAACATGAAGTATAATTCGATTTATTAAACCAAATTTTTTTGTTTTATCTTTTATTGGAAAACTTGAAATAGAAAAATTAAATAAAAACATCAACTATTTAAATGAAAAACTTAATTATATTTAAACTTTTATTAGTCCTTTATTCAAGAAACAATAAATTATAAAAAACGTGATATCTAATTTTTTATTAAGTTTTTGACGATGTTTTTTGATTTATTGACGATAATTTTCAAGTACCATCAAATTTTTTTTTAATATAACCTTTTATATATATATATAGTATATATATATATATATATATATATAGATATATATATATATATATATATATATACACATATATACATATGTGTATATATATATATATATATATATATATATATATATATATATATATATATATAGCATAAGATTATACTTATAAGACAAATAATTTAAAACAGCAACTTTAAATCCCATAAACCACAAAAGTTTTGAGATGAATTTTTCAGGATTTGAACCTCACCTATGGGTCATTCCAGCTTAATTCAATTTATGCTTGATACCATGTCATCTCAGATTTTGACAATTACGGGAATACAAACTCATATTAATGAAAGAAAACTTCACTCCAAATTTTAGTGTCTGACTCCTTACAGTTTCAGAGATATCGATACTCTATCCTGATCTCTTTTTTGATTATTTCTTTCAGAGGCATTTACTTTTTAAGCTAATTAAATATCACAATTAACTTTAACTTATGAAATACTTACTCAATAGTGGTAAAAATTTGTACCTAACTATATTTTAGGGAGAACTTAAAAACATAAAAAATTAAAGCTTCATTATGAAAATTTAATTTCAAAATGGTGTAACACTTTTTATTAGTTTTTTGATGCTCCGTACAAAAAAAAGTCTTGAGATGCCTAAAAGATATGATTCTGAAACTATTTTTTATGGTTCTATATATATAACAAACTACTTATTACAAAAAATGCAGAGGTTTTCTTTTTTGAATCTGATTTATTTGCATTGAAAGTTTTATAAAAAAAAATTAAGAAAAATTGTTATTTAACAATAAAAAAAAATTACATACATTTATTTTTTGGATTGTTTAAAAATTTTTTTTTGAATCTCAGGTACAGTTCTAATATATAAACTTATTTGCATTTCACATTAAAGATCTTTACTTTATACAACCTTTATGTTTAATGAAGGATTTCTTATTTACAAATCTTCAAATAATCATTTTAAAATTATTTCTTACAGAACTAAAAAGTAATATAAAAATATTAATGATAAAGAAAGATGTTCAATTGAACATCTTTCTTTATCATTAATATTTTTATATTACTTTTAACAACAAAGAAAAGATATGTCCATAATTTATAATTAAAATGATGTCATTTATTGATGACGGACCAGGTGAACCGCCTTGCAGCCAGATTTATGAATATAAAAATAATGAACTTCTTAATTTTTTTTTGATGGCTATGAACATAAGTTCTCTCAAAACGCATGCTGTGAATAGTCACTCAACAGTTGCTCTCGGTAAAAAAAACTCAAATAGAAACTGTTCATTACTTTTCAGATGGATGTGCTGGCCAGTAGAAAATTGTGAACACTTCATAAATACATGCCACCATGAGCAAGATTTTGCAATGAAATGTTTTTTCTTTGTAACAAGTCATGGTAAATCACCTATGATGGTATTGGTGGTACTGTTAAAAGACTAACTTCAATTATACTATTATAAACAATTTATACTTACAGCACCTGAAATGCTTTTTTTTTTTTTAATCAAAATGAAATCATAGGAATTAGTATTTGATATGTATCTAAGGAGTCAAACATGATAACTCAAATTAAAATTTTTTTCAAAGATTCTTAACTAAAACATTACCAAGCACCCGCAGCTATCATAATTTCATTCTAACAAGAAAAACAAAATTGGAACTAAAGTTGTTTCTAAACAAAAAGAGTATTCATTTGTTCTTAATCTTTAAACTGATGAGAATATTAAAGATTGCTTGATTTATAATAACAACCCATGGATTGGACTAGTAAAGGATAGTAATGTTGAAATTAAAGACTTTCAAGTTAGATTCATGCATTCATTTTATCCTTCAAAGTCATATTGTCTGCCTTCTAGAGATAGTGTGCTAGGTTCCATTAACAAACTTATTCTAAATGATTAATATTCTAACAACTGTCACAGGAAGACAATACAAAATACAGGTTTCTTTAATGCTTTGGTGATCAATTTCAAAAAATGAAATTTATCACCAAAGCATTAAAGAAAGCTGGGTAAACTTTAAACCAGAGAACTAATTTTTTATGAAAATGTTAAAGATTGTTAATTCTTATTGTCTTATTTTAATTTTTTTTATTACAATTTATTTATTTCCATGGTTTATTTAGGAACTTCGATATTTTTAGGGTTTAAAAATAGAAAAACTTTAAATGAAAATAAATTTGATTTAAAAAAGATTACCATTGCAGTTTTTTTGTTTTATTTTATTTGTTAAATATAGAACTTAAGAAAAAAAAAATTATAATTATATCTTTTCAGGCATATCAAGATAAACATTTTTTGTAGGGGGCAAAAAATGTATATCTTGAGATAAAAAAAGAAAACCCCTGCAGTTTTTTTGTAATATGAAGTTTGTTATATATAAAAGCATAGGGAAAAATTCCAGAACCATCTTTTAAGCATCTTAAGATATACTTCTTTTTGTACAGAGTATCAAAAAAAAAATGTTTGAAACTAAATTATCATAATGAAGCTTTAATTTTTAAAAGTTTTAGGTATTAATTTTGAGTTCTTCTTCCTAAAAAATAGTTGGGTACAAATTTTAAATACTATTGAGCAAGTATTTCATAAGTTAAAGCTAATTGTTATTTAATTAACTTGAAAAGTAAATGGCGCTGAAAAAAATAATCAAAAAAGAGATTGGGACAGAGTATCAATATCTCTGAAACTGTAAGGAGTCAGACACTAAAATTTGGAGTGAAGTTTTCTTTCATTAATATGAGCTTGTATTCCGAAAATCATCAAAATCTGAGATAGCATGGTTTCGAAATATGACACAGAATGACCCTGATATAAATTAACTTGCCAACTTAATGTTAAAAATGTAGTTTTTAACAAAAACTGAATAAAATAATATACTTTTTTAAATCCTTACTTTCAACAAGGCTGCAATCAATTACTATTATGCCAAGTTACTAGAAAACAAAGGATAGAATTAAAGAGCAAGGAAACGGTTGACAGAAGACTTGTAGTTGTATGGTTGTATGAAAAGTTGTAAGTTGTATAAGTCAGGAAAACATGAAGATGTGAGAAAGTTCTAAAGAGTTGAAGCTCAAGGAAAAAAAATAAAGCAAAAGTTTTTAGAGCATTCAGAAACAGATACAGTAAAAAGTTTTGACTTTGCTAAATGGTGAGTCAAGTATGATCAAGTTTTGTTTAATAAAAATAGAGGTAATAGCTCACTTGAGTAGTGACCATGATAGTATTAGTAAAAAAAAAGAAAAAGGGATGCAACCTTATAATAATGAGGTTCAAGCTTGGCAGAAAAGGCAGGTCCAACTACATTTAAAATGTGATTTCAGACATTGTCAAAAAGCATAAGAGCATCTTTAGAAGAACCAGCCCAAATATGATAACAGTATTCTATAAAGGGATGAATAAGAGATTTGTAGAGGTAGAATGGAATTAAGATAACGACAAGCGCAACAAAGAGAAGCAACCTAGGCAGATGCTAACTTTGAAACCAATTAAATATATGATTTCCATGAGAGTAGCGAATAATAATCCAAGAATTAATATTATTAATAATCCAAGAATTATTATAATCCAAGAAAGATTGTTATTCCCTACTCTCATGGAAATCATATATTTAATTGGTTTCAAAGTGGCTGGTATGTTTTTTTCTCAAAAAAAAAACATACCAGCCATATAAATGACAAAAAACAACAACAACAACAAAAAACAATATAAAATAAATTTTGATTTAAATAGTAGAGAAAATAACTACTTAACTGAATCAGACTATTTCTGACAATATCTTTCTTAGAATTAAACACAAATACTAATGGTTATTTCCGAGAGCTAGCCAAAATGCTTTAATGGGAAGACCTTATTTAACTTTTCTATTATTCTTTTAAATAATTACTTTAAAATATTTTATGAAGGAAAAAATATGAAAACAAAAAATGAAACAAAATGAAATAAATTGATTAACATTAAAAATTTTTTATTTTATTAACATGACACTATTTCAAGAATTTTATTGACAACAATGTCATGTTATGACACAATTTACACTTCTTATTATCTTCTATTCTATCTTATTATATTTTGACATTAGCATGTAATCTTATTAAAACATGACCCATAAATCAAATATACTAATTATGTTTTATATAAAAGAAACAATATTTTTAGTTTTAAATTATAACTTATAAGTATATTAAAAGTGATTCCAAAAGTCTTATAAAAGATTTACTCAATTAATCTCAGTTTTTCAATAATGATTTGAGAAATAGATTTATATTTTAAACTGTATATACATAAGAAAAAAAAAAAAAAAAAAAAAAAATTTAAAACTTGACTCAACTTAATATTTTATTTATTACTTAACAAAATTACCTGGATCTTTTGCAACTCCCCCAAATAGTGCTAGAGCAAGGGCACGTTTAATATCCTCATGACCATATATAGAAGGAGCGATACTAGCAACAATCTAAGAAAAAAAGTATTTTATATATATATATATATATATATATATATATATATATATATATATATATATATATATATATATATATATATATATATATATATATATATATATATATATTATATATATATATATATATATACACACACAATATATATATAAAAAAGTATAAAATTATAACCAAATAACTTTACCCTTTCTCCAATTCTCTCATCTTTAGATAAAGCAATAATCATGCGGATATCTTCATCTGTCAAGTTTCCTACAGCCATTTTATCATCTTGTTTAGTAATATAATTAGCTTCAATAACTGTAGCAAACACTGGAAAACCATTTGCAGTATTAAGTGATCCGTCATAGTTGTTTCGATAAATTCCTGTGACTTCCTTATAAGAAAAGTCAGACATTTGAATTCAAATCATACTATTATGACCTTGTTTTTCATCATTCCTTTCATCCATTAAAAATATAAAATTTAGTATAAGTTTACAAAGCTATGTTAGGTGTACTTATTAGCTACTAACTAGTTATATATTATTGTGAATATCAACTTGTGAATAACCGATTTGTTAGCATTGCTAAAAACTGTTTTAATTTAAAATTTTTTTTTTTTTTTACCAATAAAACTTAAAATTCAAAAGCCCAAATACAACAGAAATAACGAAGCATGTTTATGCTTAATGATCTATAATAAAATTATGCAGATAAGCCTTTTAAAAAAATTCCAAAACTATATATAATTTCTACAAAATGGTTTACTATTGGTGTATATGAAACAAAGGATAAGTACAACAATAAGTTACACTAGAGTTTTTTTTAACACTGCCGTAAGAATAAATTTGATTACTCTAAACAAAGAGGAAACTGCATATCTTTCCACCTGGTTAGAGAGTATATCAAAGGTATTTTAATATGAATTATTTGTTAATATTTGTATATTCACGTTTGTATGTATGTATGTATGTATGTATGTATGTATGTATGTATGTATGTATGTATATGTGTATATATATATATATATATATATATATATATATATATATATATTGCATGGTCATCTTAAATTTTTTACCATAAAATATCAGCTTGTTTGATAGACTGCCCGCCCAAACCAAACCCTCAGTCAATGTAGCAGCACTCCGTTGCGAGCCAGGCTATTTGTCAGTTGATGTAGCAGTACTCTGTTGCGAGACAGGCTATTTATCAGTCAATGTAGTAGCACTCCGTTGTGAATCAGTCTATAAGATAGTCGATGTAGCAACACTCCGCGCATGCATTACAGTTAAAAATAAAAGTTAAAAAAAAATAACATTCAGAATGTTTTTATTTTTAAAAAATAAAATAAAAGAATTTTTAATAAAATAAGGCAAATGTAAGTATGGAATTTCAAAGAGAATAAATAATAAAGTCAAAACCTAAAAAAAAAATTTCCTACTGTAATTATTTGGCTTTTGATGCAACATGAAGATTTATGACAAAAAAAATCACGTGGTTACCAGTTTTTGTTGACCCATTTGATGTAATATAAAATCGCAAATTTCTTAGGTTAAAAAAAAAACTTCTTAAATCCTATAATGCTTCATAAAATGCTTGATATTTGTTCAGCGCGTATAGATTTTAAATTTAAAGATACAGAATTTAATTTTAAACAATGTTTATTCTATGAAATTTTCTTGTAACACTTTTATTTAAAAGGAAAACAAAAAACAAATGGACATTTTTTCCCAAAATTCACTCAATATTTATTTGATTGTTTTTTAGATAAATTAATAAATTAATTTTTTAAATAAATTTTAATACATTTTGCAATAACTATAGAAAAAAGCAGCAAATAAATCAAATAAATATATTGTGGATAAATGCCTTAAGCTTTTAAAAGAATTTTCTTTAGGAAAACTTCCTACTTCAAACCAAGTGTTTGAAAGATGACTTTATTTTAAAGACTATAGGAAAGACAGTGTTCAGAGAGATGTTGGTGTAGAACTATTAAATCTATGGAATAATTATGTTTATCCAATATCTGCCATTCGAATTAAAGCAAAGCTCAGCAGTTACATTGAAAACTTTTATAATTTTGTGAACAATGACAAAAAAAAAAAGTGAACAAAAATATGAAACTGATGATGCAGCAGATTTTATAGGAAAGGCTAATCAACTATTTTATGTACATCAAAAAGGCCAAAACAAATTGAAAAGAAACTAGACAACAACAAACTAACAGAAATTGAAAAGAATTATTAATTTATTATTGTAATAATATATAATAATATATAACTATTAATAATGAGAGATAAAAATTATAAGTTTTATGAGATGAATATAACATCAACAGTTTAGATTCACCTTTAAAGCATTTACTCAAATTTAAAATAAAACTTATATTTAACATTCAGTAAATAGAGATGTGTTTTATAGGGTTTTCAATTTTTAGGATCAAAAAATCAACAGACACATACTGCACTTCTAAGCTAGTTCCTGAAACACCTTTTGAAACTAAATTAAAAAAAAAAAATTAGTCTTACCTTAAACTCTTATAAATAGCTGAAAAAAATCTCACCTAATCGATGCTTGGAGTTTATTTTATATTGCATTTATGATTATTTTTGCGTATTTTTTAAATTTTGAGACTTAAACCCAAGTGGGTCAGATAAAAATAATAAACTTTTTTTTCATATCGAGTTTTAGAAATTAAAAGCTAGGTATATAAAGGGGATACATTTTTTGATGGAAGTGTACTTGATTCACTGTGTCTAGGGAAGGGTAATATATGTTTAAAAATTTCAATTAAAAATGACTTGGAATTAAAACAAATCATTTCTATAATCACCTGTGACTTAAGTACACCTCTGCCCATTTTTCTCATTAAAATTTTCATTTTTCAGTCCAATTTAATAAGTAAAACCAAGCTTAAAGCACTATATTCATAGCCATTGTCTTTTTTTAATAAAAATTAACACAGGTTTTACAGGTTAGATATTTTTTTATTGGTTACAGGCTATATTATAGGATTTTTTTAACTATTAGGATGGTTTATTTTAGAATTAACATGGCATATGTTTTTATACTCTAATAATGGTACATTATTAGTCCCAATGAAATAATTTTAATAAGTTAAACAAATTTGCAAAATATTTCTTACAATTTCATCTCCTGGTTTACAAGAATCAACAAGATCAGCAAGTAAAACAACATCTTTAGATCTAGGCAAACGACCAGCTGCAACTTTTGATGGACTCTCTTGAATTTTTATTTTTTGGTAATTTTGATAAAGTGTCTAAAAAGGATATAAAAATATAAATTATATATTAAGAGGTTGACTTACTATTAAAAAAAGGTAATGGTTTAAATTTTTCATAATTTTTTTCTCAACACACTTGGCATTGCATCATTGTGAGGCAAAAACTATGACCAAACTTTTGTAGATTAGCTATAAGTAATATTTTATAACTGCTTTTATTTTTAGGAAGTACTTGTAATAAAATTCCTCTTTTGCAGTTTTAATATACCATATATATATATATATATATATATATATATATATATATATATATATATATATATATATATATATATATATATATATATATATATATATATATATATACATATATATATATATATATATATATATATATATATATATATATATATATATATATATATATATATATATATATATATATATATATATATATATATTATGTTAGAGCATATATCAATAAAAGAATCAAATAATTGCATTTTTGTTGTCCAATTAACATCAGCTAATTTGAAAAAAAACTCCAGATAACAATGTCAGCATGTAATATATAAAAATAATATTTCTTGAAAAAAAATCTATGAACTTCTATATAGTCTTTATATAATTAATATTGTTTAATTTTATTTGTATTAATAAAAGCTCTTTAATAAAAAGGCAAAATATACAATACATCTTTAGTAAAAAAAAACTTTAGTCTATTTGTTCTATAATTTTTTTTCAGTAAATACTTTAAGAAAAATATTACTATAAAATATATTTGAGCATATTAAGATTTTATGATACAAATTTATTATACATTTTTTAAGTAATTAAGAACACAATTAAGAGCGTCATGCTATGACGCTCTTAAATGTGCAATAACTTGTAAAATAAAAAGTAAAAAATAAACAAAAAATTATCCTTAAAAAAAAATATTTTTTTTTACCAAAATAAAATGAATTTATATTTTTTATACATTTATTTTATTAATTTATGATATTACAAAATTGTATTTCCTCAATAAAAGCAAAACATCAAGACATATGGAATTGCTGAATAATATATTAGTTAATGAGACTAGGGTGCATGTATAGCATAAAATTAATGAGGTTAGGGTGTATGTATAGCATACTAATCAAGGAGGTTAGGATGCATGCATAGGATAAAATTAATGAGGTTAGGGTGTATGTATAGTATAAAAATGCAGATTTTTGGGTATCAGAGCATGTCAAGAGATCAAAGTTTCAGAAGAAAAAGTAGATATTTAAAGTTGGAAAACTCAGAGACAAAGTTTCTGTCAAGGAAAGTTGCTTAAGATAGCATATTTGAGTAAAAGAAGACAGAATTAAACATTTGACAGATCTTTAAAATTTCGAAAACAACAACAACAAAAAAAACAACATTAAAAGAATGACAACTCAAGTTTAAATATCACTATGCTAAGAAGAATCTTGGTATAAAAAACAATGTGCTGGTAAAACAAAGTTTTTGGTATGTCAAAAAATATATTTATAGGTTACAGAAATAAAATTCTAAAAATCATATACACAAATATTGTAAAATAACAACTACTGACAAGAAACCCTTTGCTTTGGAGTTTTGCATTTGATACCTGTGATTTGACAAAATTTTTTCAGAAATGTATGAAGATCTGTGTTAAATTAAAATCAATGTAGGTATCATCCAGTAAAATTTCAACTACCTAGCCAAAAGTTTTTTTCTACAACATTGTGCACATACTACCATCAATATCAAGTAAACAAGGAACCACTTTACTTAATCTTGTTTCAAACCCACTGATTTTTCTGCTCATATAATTGGTAGAATGTGATAAATTAAAAAGTATTTGATTAATCAAATTAATCAAATAGTTTTTAATTTTATTTAGTGCAATTCCATTAAGTAATAGTTTTAAATTACTTAATGGAATTGCACCTTTGTTAAATAAATAACAGCATTAAAAAGACTTTCAACAATATATACAAGCAATAATGATGCATAGTGTTTTAATACAATTTTGTCATTCTTTAATTAGCTTTGTTGCAATGTTACGAGTATACTAAAAACATTCTAATTTTTTGCCAAGAAGCACTCATCAATGTTAAGGAAAAATGTTTTTATTTTTATATCAAAAACAAGCTAAGAATAAAAAGCTTCACCTAATCCTTCTCACAACTTATACAAAGCAGTTGTACTGAACATTTTCAAAATTTTTTTTTTAATTAATGTGCTTTAGACAATTCCTATGCGTATTCAATCCACATGGGTTGTTCAATATGGGATGTTAAAGATGGAAATAGGAAGGAAGATTATGTTCACAAATAAATGCCAGCATCATAGTTCCTGCATTTAATGACTGGTCTCTAAAATTTACAATGGATTTAATGGTAGGCTTTACTCTATTTGTACAAGTACTACCAATATGCATGATATACAGAATGTCGTATGGCAAATTAAATGCATCTATATATTTTTTCAAATTAGTTAAAAATGGCTATGGTATAGCTTTGTTTGACTTTATTGTTGAGAGGTTTTGATGATGTATTTTAGACTATGAGTGACTTAAGTAAAAAATTTTATCTTCACTTTCATAATAAAAATCCTTACCACATACTACACATTGTATCTAAAACACCAAATTAAATAATATATAATTATAATGAAATTATATATTTCAATTTTCAGTTAGGGAATAAACTCAACGCTCCAGCTTCAGTGGTGTGCTGGCCCCAGAGGCTATGGGGGAATCCTGCTTGGGCCTATCGCTATTTATCCTAGAAGGGCCTTTTTTTTAATTTTTATACCCTTTACTACATTCTAAAAATGATTCACAAATGATATTTATTTGTTTTATTTTTTATTTCACAAGTTCAATTCTTTAACAAATCTCTGATTTCAACTGTTGGAGTTCAAGCGCATATATATTAGTATTTTGCATAATATAAAGCAACCGTTAGTAACTTTTGCCTCAAAACAAAGTCAGTATTGAAATAATTGATCGTTATATCACTTAAATCGCTTATTATATAAGTTATATAGATATATAGATAAAATTAATCAAGTTAGCCAATGATTATTATGAGAAATAATTGCGTTTAATTTTAAATTATGGAAAAGATATTCATATTGATACAATTTTTGTTAAATTTTAAAACCCCACAACCAATTAAAATAACTTTATTGAGTCTGCGGCGCAGTGGTTAGAGCGCTTGCTTTTTTAGCAAAAGATCCAAGTTTGAAACAAGCTATGGACATATTTTCACGTCACGATGAAGAAGGAGACGTGAACTTCCTGGTTAAATGCACTTCTGCAGTGCTCTATGACAAGACCGTTAGGTCTTCTTGTGACACTTAAATAACAAACAAACAAAATATAAAAAATTAAAAAAAAAAAACTTGTTAAACTGCTTTTATAAAAATATAAATCCACAAATTTTTTAAAGAAAAAATAAGTCCATATCGTGTAATATATTTAATTTTTAATTTAATTGATTCCATAATTACAACTAAACTGCCACAAAATTTCCTGAGTACTTTAATGCAACTTAATAAAAGCAACTCGTTTCTCCGCGCAGCGGCCTTGTTTGTCAAGGTTCGTGTTTCAGAGTTATAGAGTTGAGAGAGGGTTATAGCCACAAATAAGTAGCCTCCTCATCTGTAGTAGCCTTCTCGGCCTTGAGGAGGTGAAATAAAATTAAAAAAAAAAAAAGAGTACAGAAGCTATCAAAAAATAATTACAAACCTTTTTATCATGGAACTATAATTTCTAATAAAGAAATTATTTACTAAAAAAAAAGAATTACAATAATCTAGAAATAGTTGCATTTGCCAACTATTTTTTATCCCAGGGCATGACGTACCGCTTTTTTAAATGAACGTTGACTTGCGTATCTTTATTTACTGACAAACGTCTAATTTAAGAGATTTATGTCAAACAAATTTCAAATAATTTTTATTTTAGTTAATTAGTTATCAAATAAATCAAAGATGCTTAGTAAATTTATTCAATTGTTATTTTTCAAAAACTTTTTTTTCACACATTTGTAAAGCGCGCGCAAATTAATGATAAATGCACAATAAAAAAATCTTTTAAAAGTGTTTTTAATATGCAAACAAACATTATTTCAGTTTATGGAAAATAAGAAAATTAAAAAAAAAAGCATGCACAATTTTATTTATGATGAAATCATTTGCTTTAAACTTTTAATGTAATTGTTAAAAGCAGAAAAGAAACCAAGCTTAAACTTTGCGATCGCTTTCTTTAATAAAAGAAAGCAATCAAATTGTTTAAGTGCGGTTTCTTTTGAAGTTTTTGCAAAAGCATTTATCTTAACTAAAATAATTTTAGTTCAATGCGCTCACAAAATCATAATTTTGTAAGCGCATGCAAAAACCATGCTAAAACATAATTACTTTTTTCTATTTATTTTACTTTAAAGTGACGCTATTGAAAAAAGTAATTATGTTTTAGCATTTTTTAAAAAAAGTCGCAATGAAAAAAAAGTAATTAATTTTTTTTCATTTTAAATGTGTTTTTTGTAATAAATAAAAAACTATTGATCGCAAAATTATTTTGAAAAAATTGCTTATGCAACGCGTTTGTTTTGACACATCTCAATCAAACGGCAATGTTTGCATAAATAATGATACAGTTATTTAGCCGTATTACTAAAATATAGCAGGCCTTATTTTGTTTACTTAGGAAACTCACTAGAAAAATGCAGATTCAAACAAAATCAAAAACGATGTAAAAATATTAACTGATTTTGAAAAAAAAAAAGGTTTTTTTTGAAAACTTTGTTTATATAACATAAAATACAATAATTCTTGTATATGTAATAAAGCTAAAACAAATATATATATATATATATATATATATATATATATATATATATATATATATATATAAATATATATAAAATGTATATATTTAGTATAATAATGTATATACTTTTTAAATTTAAACGTTAATGTTTTTTAAACAATTGAAATTTGTTTATTTTTAGGAAATGAAACATGAAATGTGCTTCTCGCAGCACAATAAAACGTGCTTGCCACAGCACAGTGCCATTTTAATTCTAAGAAAATCCATTGTTTTAGTATGTTGATTTAATTGATAAAGTCAGTTTTTTATTGATATAAATATATATATTATATATATATATATATATATATATATATATATACACAAATGTGGGCCTTCCAATCAAACCTATTTGGCAAAATCCTGCAAAAATGGGTCTTTTTGAAAAAATCCTGCATGTGCTTTTTGGAGCCAGCACGCCCCTGTCCAGCTTTATATATTTTTCTTGTATAAGCTGATAAATACTCTTCATTATTAAATTTCTCTTAAAGCCAATTCCAGCAAAACTTGTTTTTAATATCTTTGTCTATCTCTAAAATGTCAAATAAACTCTTAACTTTTATTTTACAATTTTTTCTTCTTGATAGTATTAATTGACAACAAAAACTTTTGTAAACTTGTAAACAGAATTCACACTAATTAACTTCTTATGAAAAGCTAATCTAAAAAATCTAAAAAAAAGTTAATTTGAATATATTATAAAGGAAAAATTTATGTTATCTCCAAACCTCTTCCATATTGATCTCAAAGGGTCCTCTTGACTGACACTGTGGGCAAGATCCAGGCTTGAGTTCTTGATTTTGACCTTGAAAATATGGACCAAGAATAAACCTGCATTTAACACAATCATATTTCACCATACTTAGTTGAGGAAGAATACCAGTGCTGCATGTTACAACGCCACATGTTCTGATCAACTGGTTTAAATGAAGCTGCCTAAAAAAAAGAAAAATAGACTATAGGCAATATTTTTGATAAAAACTTAAACATAGCTGCAAATAAAAACAAATAGAAGTATTTATATATATAAATATCAAATTGACAATATAGTGGTTGAAATAATTACAAATGGACAGAATGTTTATTGGGTCAATATATGAAAATTATAGTTTTTGATAAGATTTACACAAATTCTTTTAACAGAATAGAAAAGACCAAGCACATCTCATCTCATAGTCAACAGATTTTATGTTGTGGTATCATTGTTACTTAATTTTAAATGCATTCCATAGATTTCATAGTCTTTTACAAAATCATGCAGTGACTGCTTTCAAAGGTGTGCTTTAAGACAATATTTTGTTTGCAGTGGTATTGAGTCTAGTGCTTAAGGTTAGGAAAAATTTGAAAAAAGTGATTTTCAGATGCTGATTTAATTTAAACTTTGTGATTGCAGTTAAATTTGCATTAGCCAAGGAAAAAAAATACATAAAATGCTGTTTTTGCATAAAATTGCATAAAATGGCCATTTCGATTGGATTTACAGATATAGCAGAGCGTACAATGGAAAACTTTAATGGGGACTTGTCAAAAAGATGTGCCAACAAAATTGCTAAAAATTCTCCAGCTTCACTTTTAAATACAACTCTGTAATCGCATTGGATTGGTCAAGTTTTAAACGAGAAGCAACCCCAATATCAATGTCTGCTTGAGGTTTTTGAATATTCTTATTATTTAGATCAAGTTGAAGCAGCTGATAAAGTCCATCACATTTCTTTAAGACATCTTTAAGAATAAATCGGCTCAATAAGTCTTCGATAATATCACCAAGAATAGTGCTCATAAATTGTACCATGGGTTACCATGGGTTTATCTGTTAGGAAACCTCTTAGAAAAGCATTTAATTTCTCAGATACCATTTCAAAAAATTTCAATTTTGCTGGTAAAATTGGATCATATATCAGGCCTTATGATGAATAAAAACTGCACAACGCATAAGCACGACGTGATTTTTGACGTCATTAAATTATTTTTATTTGCTTTTCATATTTATCGACATTAACTGCACTAATTTACTTAATTACTGCAAAACTACTTTAAATCATTAATGTAGAAATGTTATTATTTAAAAATGTTTTGGAATGTTTTGTTTTTTAAAATGTAAAAACATTTGTTTATGTTCTCGACCACTGACACGTTTTGTCTATACTAAATGAATAAAAAACATTATAACTAAACATTTAAAAAAGATTATAAAATATGCTAACAATTGATTTTTTTTTTCTCAAATATGTAATTTAAAGTTAGTCAAATATTTATTTTTTCTTTTTAAAAAGTCAGCGAGTAATAAACTGGAAATTTTAAATTTGTACAATTAAAAACTGTGTAATAGCTAATATTTTTACTAGCGATTTTATATAATATTTTTTCATTTATTTATTTTTATTTATTTTCATAAAGCGGTTGATAAGCACAATCACTCGTATTACTAAAAAACTTTAACGAACGTTTTGAATAGACTTTTAATGTTTACAAGGAATTTTATTTTTGGTAAAATAGAATAAAATAAAATGTTAGAATAAAAATCTTATAGGTATAAAAGACATATTTTAGCGAAAAATTATTCTATAAAATTATTATTAAAAATTATTCAAAAAACTATTGACGTTCTATTTTTCAGCAGCTGTTCTTGAGCAAGCTTCGTTGAGTTTTGGTAACTTTTAACAAAAAAGCGATTGTTATTATTTAAGTAATTTTTTTCGAGTTTCGAGTTTTACAAAAATTTTAATAGCTGTACTATTTTATTGAATCAAGCAGAATCTTGAGGTCGCGATCGCGTCACAAAACGAGTTCCATCTTTGTAGGGGAAAAACATTGAACAAAACGTGTGATTAGCGCGTTTTGTTCATTGTTTATATGTTACAAATTTTTTGTAACCATCAAGAGATTTAGCTTTTTGTGTGCAGTTTTTATTTTCGCACCACCTGTGTCCACAAAACTGTAATGGATATTCCAGTGTTTGAGCAAAACTTTCATAAGTTTCTGGTTGTGTGGGTGAATTGTGTAAGAAGTGCCACATTGATTTCAAAGCATAATTTATTTCCCAGCCACTTGCTTCTGCACCAGCTTTCGAGCTTCCGTTAATGGTGCGAAGACCACATGTTCCTATATCAATAAAAGGATTTAGTTCTACCTCTTGCCTTTGTTCACTGAAATTTTTGAGAAATAACAAGTTTACATTGGGACCATTGGAAGACACTTGTAAAATCTTAGCTTTGTCAATTTCGGATACACCACTGAGGAACGTATTTAAAACATCCTCAGCAGTGGAGCGCCCCATAAAATCTGAATTAAGGTATCGAGTATTAACGCTGTCAGATTTTTCACTCCAAAACCTGACTAAAAGATCCATTTGTCCCTTTTGAAATATCCAATTAAGTGATTCGCTAAATGAAATAGTGCAATATGGAGCAGCTGAAAGTGTCAATAATAGCTCACTTCGAAAATATGGAACAAGTCCATATGTAGCTACATACCCGGCCTTTATTCAACCACATTGAAATGTCTTTGCAATATTGCTATCAGGGAACATTTTTCTGAACAATTCTCCAGAATTTGATGAGGTATTCATAGAATGCCTAGAGTAAACAGTATTTAAAACCCAGCGTATCTCAGGTTTAAGCGTTAAAGATCCTATAAACAATTGATCAATTGTTTTTGATTTGCTTGATAGGGATATAGCTTCAGAACAAGTTTCTAGAATAGGAGGTGGGGAAATTAAAGGTGATAAATATGATTTGATGGTTTGCTCTACAGGTTTTCTTTGTATATGCCTTTTGCTTCTCATATGCGATGTTAATGCAGGCTCTCCCATGTTAGAAACATTGATTTTACTAAAGCAATAAATGCACTTAGACATTGTTTCGTTCATCTTCCAAACCCAGGATTTAAATTGATCATCATATAACCATTTTTCTTGAAATACACACTCATTCTTCACTCATTCACTCATTCTTAGGCATTTTTTAAATTTATTATACTAAAAGAAAAAACATTTTGAAAAAACCTTAACATAATTTTAAAAACTGACTGCAATTTAAAGTACACTGTAAACATTTAACAAATTTAAAAACAAAAATACAAAAAATTCTCAATTAATTATATAATTCTGATCATGTCAAGCATTTTTATAGATATATTAAGTAGAAACAACCAGCTGTGTACTATACTTTTTATTTTGAAATATTTATCTAAATCAAAATATGTTTACATTGGTGAGAGAAATTATATACTCCATTATAATATTATTCATAAATCAGAACTATGAAAGTTGACCTCTTAAAAAGTTAGTTTAAAATGTGTAACAATGTAGCTTAATGTTACTTTAAAAAAAGAATAAAAATTTTGAAACTTAAATCCTCAATTTTAAAAAATTTTAGGACATTTCCAGTATTTTAGAAAAAAAGAGAAAAATTCCAGGACTTTCCAGGACACAAGTCGAATTTTAGGACTTTCCGGGACTGTAGAAACCCTGATAATGTGCTTTTGTAAATGACGTCATACAAAAAAGTTCTTTCAAACTCTTAAATATTAAAGTGTTTAAAAGTTTTTTGGGTTTTCCGTTAAGTTTTATGCAGTAGAATTATGGAATATATTTATAAAACGAACCAAACTTTAAACTGATTAAAAATAATGCAATCAATAAATACTCTTTAAAAGCCCAACTTATATTTATTTTGTTTTAAAAACAAAACTAATACTAGTGCTATAGATATAGGATACATAAATTTTAAAATTATACTGATATTTGTTAAAAACAATTTCTGCTAATAACATCTTATAACTGAAAATACTATTTTCTTTTTGGATTTAGAAAGAAATAGTAAAAATACTTAAGGTTTCATGGTAGATAAAAATAAAATATTTTAATGGAAATAAAAAAAAACAAAGCCAAAATGTGGTAATCTTCGTTTAATTACAATTTTTAATTTAATCAAAAGCCAGTTAACGCAAAGGTTTTTTAAAAAGGGGAAAACCTAACTAACTGTGTAGAAGTACACTTAAATCCCTTTAAGAAAATCAACCATAAACAAGTGTTGACTCATTTAAAAAAAAATAGCCTAAAAAAATTGTTTTAAAGAAAACAAATTACGTTTAAAATTTAAACTGTAAATAAGTATAAGATTTTAAAACAAGGAAATCATTTTTTAATCAACATTTAAAATTAATTTATAACTTTTTTTTATAACAATATTGTTAAATTTAAAGATATTTTATTTAAAAGACTTGATAATTTCTAATGTGTTTTTGAATTGAATTACAATGAGTGATTTTAAAATACGCAACTGATGCAATTAAACTTTTAACAATGTAAATATCTTTTTTAAATAAAGTTACATTAATTCAGGTTGCGCTTTTCCGGTACGCATCAAAATCTCATAACAAGGCCTGATAACACGTAGAAAACTTTTGTTGTTTATCTACTTGTAGCAAAGATCGAGTACCATTTAGATACCAGTCTATATTGGTAAAATTGAAAACTAAAAACTTTTAAATTATACTTAAAAAAAATAAAAATTTAAGTTTAGTTTTGAATAAATGTAAAATAGTTACGTTATTTCTTGAAGAAAATTAAAAAAATTTTATTCTTTTAATTATAGTAAACTCTCGCTTATTCAAAATGGCACTTTTCCTGCATATTTGAAGCAACTTTCTTTCCCTATGAATTATCCTTATCAAACTCATGCAAATATCCATCAGTTATTCGAACCTGCGGTTATTTGAAGTTCCGGTCTCAAAGCAATTTAATTAGTATATTTACCACTAAACACAACCTCTAAAACTCAACAAATAGACCAAGGAGTCATATAAACATCGAAGGCTTTTTATCACATGAATATTGTAAGATGTCAGATCAAATAAATTGATACTGGTAAAACAACCTGAAATATCACCATTCTTGAATCTATGAGCATGTTGGTCTAGTCATGGGATGCTGTATTAACAAATTCTGTAATGAATTGTTTTAGAAAGACAGGTATCTCACAGGAAATACAGGTTGCAAGTATAAATGGTGAATATGATGCTTTTGAATTTCTTGAAGAGAACACCAATGAATTTAGATTACATGGTTTAGTAGACGAAGATTTTTTTGTTTTGTTCAAGCGAACCAATTGCTATCACAGATCGAGAAAATCTGTATTCAAAAACTATTAGAGATAGCACATGCAATTAATTGTTAATTAAGAGTTAACTGAATGTTGGTCTCTTTTTGAGAATAAGGTCCTTAAAATCTAACAATCGCTAAGCCTAGTATCAAAGATGTTTGATAAACATTCTTTAGAGGCAAAAAAGCAATCAAAAATGGATGATTTTTAGAAAAAAATTGTAAATTTAAATTAATTTTTTTAGAAGGTAAAGACTTAAATAGCATCTTATACCAAAGATTTCCTTCTTTTTTAGTCTCTACTCTTGTTAAATTGTTAGTAACTTGAAACAGGCCACTTTAAAGAAGATTTTCAGTTATTCAAACTTTTGGTTAAATAAATTCTTGTTCTCCTTGGAGGTTCAAATAACTAAATATGGACAAATTGAGAGAAATTTTCTATAAGGAACTAAGTCACATTTTTATTGTTTAGAGAAAAATAAAAAATCAAATTATCCAGTTAAGTAATTTTTGATAATCAATAACTTTTTATAAGTTTTATAATTTTAACAATTATTAATGTAGCTAAATTTAATTTCAATGCGAAACTTTAAAATATGCCAATGAAGCAATTCAACTTATAACAATATAAATATCAAAGCTGAGTTAAAGTTTACATTTATAAGCATAGAGCGTTTTATTTTTTGAAATCTTGTAACAAGGCCTGTATAATACTCTCATTTTTTGACAAAGTAGTTTACAGAAAATTTATTTGTTTATTATCTTCACAACAAACTTAATTTTACTTTGAGATTTAAAATATAAAAATGATCTAAAAAAAAGGAAAAGAAACAGCTTCAAACAATTATTTGCTTCAAGAAGATTGAAAATTATTTACCTGAGAGATCTTAAGTCTTCCATAAGAGGTAGCTCTGAAATTCGAACATGTATTTCTGGGGCAATACGTTCATAATTTTTAAACATAGATAGTACTACTTCTTTTGCAGCTTCATCAAATATTTTTAACATTTCAGCTGGAGCCTCCGGAAGAAAATATGCTAATACTTGATGTTCGTTGGCCAAATTATTATAATCAACAATGAGACTTTGTTTATTATTTTCACACATTTGCTTTATTTTTAAACGATATACATTATTTCCGTGTTCATCACAAAATGTTTTAAGAAATTGTTTAAATCTATTTTTTATCTCTAATGAAGGGGCAGTCAGAGTAACCCATTCACGCACAGTATGACCTTTCATGTCTTCCAAATTTTCTATACTTTCAATCATCTAAACATGCATAAATAAATGTAAAAATATAACATAATAGTCTTTAGGATATAACAATAATTCTAAAAGTAAAATAGTATCAATTGAAAGTTGTTAAAACAAAATTAATTAACAACAAATTTATCATAAATACCTCAGTATCATCAGCAAATTCCCTTTCTGCAGCACGTTCAGCTAACCTTCGACGCCTTGATCTAGGTTCACCATCATCATCTTCACTTTCGTCTTCAAAAAAATATATTAAAAAATCAAAGATCAAAAAATCAATGTATATTGAAATTAGATAAATCATAAAATATGTAGATTTAAGTTAGATATATCAGATATATCATATCTTCTGCATTTGGCTAGCGATTTTGCACTCAAGCCTTTTCAGGCTTGCAAAAACTTAGGTCAGAGCATGAAAAAATACAAGCATTTTTTTTTAGATTGCAAAAAACCTTTTTTATTCATCAAAAACTTTTATAAAAAAATGTTTAAATTTTTATATATGAATTATTTTAAAAACTTTTTAGCTGTTTTTTGCTGTTTTTATTTTAGTTATTTTAAATTTAAATAAATGTTTATTTTCCTTTTTAATGTAGTTATTTCAGTTAGAATTGAAAAAAAAAAAGGTTTTTGTTGTTGCTGTTTTTTAAAAATACTTACATCTGCAACTTAAATATTAATTTGTACTAACAAACATGAATTTTCCTTCAAACATGAAGATTAAAAAAACAATTAACAAAAATACAAAATTAAGCATTTTATAAAAGGATGAGTATTTAAAAAATACAGCAATTATAAAATTTTACAATTTTTTTTTCATCAATTGGCAAATTATTACCATATAACAAGCCACGTCGCATTCTTCCAGTTGTTAACCCTAAATCTCTGTCTCTTTTCTCCATCAACCTTTCTGCTTCAAGCCTGGTTTCAACATCAAGATCGCTCTGCTCCTGGTCATCAAGAACAGATTGTTCATAAGTGTCGAGATGAGGAATTGGTCGATAATCACTGTGAATGACAAAAAAAAAAAATTGCATTAATATATTGTAAACATTATTTGTATTGGATAACTAAGTTAAAGTTTCACAACTTATTAATAAATCAACAAATTTAAATTAACCAAAAAAACAAACAATTAAATAGACTTACAAAAAATTGAGAAGCACAAAACATTTAGTAAGTTTAAGTTGAAATAAGAAAAAATGTTTTATATATATATATATATATATATATATATATATATATATATATATATATATATATATATATATATATATATAAGGGTGTCCCAAAAAACAACATTTTTGAAAATAATCTGCTCTCACCCCCTAAATGTGTTCTATCTAATACAAAAACACTAGGTTTAAATTTTTTTTTGAATAAAAAATATTTTAAGGGGTCCCTCAAGACCCTCGAATAATTAATGGGTCCCTAATATTTTCAAAAAAAAGTACCAGGTTGAAATACTTTTGAAAAACTTTTTTTTCGATATATATATATATATATATATATATATATATATATATATATATATATATATATATATATATATTATATATATATATATATATATATATATATAGTGCTTGATGTGAGGCGGGATGCCATCCAGTCACCTTTTTATAAAGTATAAACCATCCCGCTACTTTTTTGTAAATCTCTCTATATAACAATGATTAGGCGAGATGGTATTTTTAATTTACCGCAATTTGATGGTATTTTTAATTTATCACAATTTTCAAATATGACCACGCAAGTTACATTTTGCCATGACGGTTTGACCGCGGCTAATTCAAAAAATATTTTAGAAACATGCTAAATAAAAAATATTCTAAAAAAAGTGAAATTAATTACTTCAAAACTTCTTAACAAATATTTTTATATAAGCGAAGCGATTTTAAATAAAGTAACAATTTACTGAAAAAAAGATTTGTTTTTTTAAAATATAATTGACAGTTGTTTATATTTTTTTAATTTAAAACATATAAATTGTTTAAGTGTTTATTTCTAAAATAAATCTTATTAAAAAATAAAAAATTGTAATGTTTTTATAAACGATGACATTCTGCAACTACGAAAATCTCTTTAACGAATTTAAATATAAGAATGATTAAAGTTAATGCATTTAAAAAGATAAACAAAATTTAAAAAAAAAAAAAAGTTTTAGAAAACCGTTACAATTTAATAAGTTTGATCTTGAATGCTTTTATATTATCAAAACGCTTTTAATGAGGTAAAAAAAAAAAGAAAAAAACACAAATAAAATATATATAAAAATGATGAACAATGCCAACCTTAATATATATAAAATATATAAAAATGATCGACAATGCCAACCTTAATGTGTTTGATGTTGGCACTTTTGCTGACTCGTTTCTATGTTTTATTAAAACACCTTTTGTTGTGCGTCATTAATAATTAGCGTGCTAATTATTGACTAAAGTCACAAGTTGTGATTTTTTATTATTATAACATTTTGTATAATGACCACTAATTGTTGACAAGAGTCACAAGTTTAATTTTTAAATACTATATATAGTGAACAAATTTGTTGTAAAAACGTTAAGATTGTTGATAAGTAATAAAAACATTAAAAACAAAATGGCTTCTAAATGCTATGAAAAACAAGCTAACCGGGCATGTCTATTATCTCCGCAATATGAAGATGGACAGCCAAAGCGATTTATTCGACAGATGACTTCCTTCTTTGCAATAAACAATATAACTTTAGATCAACACGTAGCGTTTTTGCTTGCCGCTCTGCCATTAAAAACTTACAAAACCATGGAAGAATTAACAGCACCGGAAGTTCCAGAGGATGTTTCGTACGAAGAATTGGTAACGAAATTGGAAACATTGGAAATAAGAAAATCATCGTTAATCTCACGGTATGAGTTTGGAAAAATTTACCGAGGTACTGAAGAATCTATACAGACGTTCGCGCATTGAGTGATTCGAGCAGCTAAAGACTGCAAGTTCTTGCCTTTTTGTGACCAATTCATAATTGGCATTAATGATGGTGCCATTCTTCGGGGAGACCATGCATTGAGTTTGACGATTGTGTCAAGACTGTATCCGTGGTTGCACAAACAAGATTAGATGCGGCATGTTTATCTGTGAATGAAGAAGTAAATGCTATTCACCGGACGACTAAAACGACAAGTTATACACGAAGAAAGAAAGAAATTCAATGTTACAACTGTAAATCCTTAAATCACTTTGCACGTGAATGTACCTCTTTATGCAAAAAATGCTTGCATAAACATGCTGCAAAAGACTGCTACAAACGTCAAAGAAACCAGGAAAACTTGAATGGGACGAGTTCGCATTAGGTATCTTTACAAGAACTCGTCCCGAAACAAGACTACCTACTATTGACTTGGTAATAAACGGAAGAAAAGCTACAGCGCTTGTGAATACTGGTTGTTCACAATCAATCATCACCAAGAAGTTACTGCTGCCTGTGTGATTCGTGTAGTAAATGATGCAACAATGGGCGGAATAATTTGATGCGAAGAAGTTAGTGCTAAAATATGCCACCCAACCAACGGGTGCTAGGTGGATGTGGTGGTTCTGAGTGTGAATGAAGTAATAAACAAATACGACATGATTATGGGTATGGACTTAATAAAGACGTGTGATGGACTACAAATTGGCACTGGAAAACTGAAATTGTGTAATTCTTTAATTGAGTTGTCATCGAAACTTCGTGTTGCGACAATTGAAATTGGAGCAAGCAAAGCTTATTTTGATGGCAAAAAGTGGAGTGGGAAAACGAACCTAAAAAACGAAAAATAGAACAAGTCAGTATAATGTAGCTGACCAACATTGCGAGGCGTTTAACAACGAAATAAATGAATGGATCAAAGAAGGTATACTCATCAAATATGACGATAAAATTATGGGAAAACCTAAAGGTCTACTACCGTTAATGTGTGTCATTCAAGATAACAAAAAGAAGATAAGACCTGTGCTTGATTATCGTGAGCTTAACACGTATGTAAAAGCCTCTACAAGAGATGCTGGTGTCATCAATGATGCAATGAGGGAGTGGAGACTCATGAGCAAAAACAGCAATGACTCGGTAGTGGATCTAAGAAGAGCATATTTACAAATTCATGTGCATAAAAGGCATTGGCCTTACCAGACGGTCATCTATAAAAATCAGTGATATGCACTTACACGTTTGGGCTTTGGTTTAAGTTTGGCACCAGTGATGAGCTCAATATTGCGGTATGTTCTCCAACAAGATTCTGCACTGGCAAAAACAACAAGAGGGTACATTGATGACACCCTTGCAACCAATGGAAATGGAAGAAAGATGGTGATACATATGAAGAAATGGTATCTTCATGCAAAAGCACCTGAATATTTTGGCAAAAACCCAGTTCGTGCACTAGGATTAGAAGTCACAGTAAATCCATTAACAAAGGAGATGTTTTGGAAGAGAGGACGCGAGCTTCTTATCATTAAACCTGTGCTCACAAAGAGGGATATATTCTCATTATGTGGTAATCTGATTGCTAATCTACCAGTTGCTGGATGGTTGAGACCGGCATGCAGCTATGTAAAAAGATGTACTAACGAAGCAGGTTGGGATGAACCTATTACAAATAAGTATGTTATCGAAATGATGCAGGAAGTTGTAGATAAAGCCATAAAGTGCGATCCGGCAAAAGGTGTATGGAATGTTAAACCAAATGCATCTCTGACTGCATGGTGCGACGCAAGTTCGCTGGCAAAAGGAGTTGTGATAACGCAAGGTGACAGAAAAATAGAAGATGCGACATGGCTCCGACCAAAGTCTGACGCAATCCATATCAATGTGGCCGAATTAGATGCATATATTGAAGGTCTAAATATGGAATTGAAATGGAATCCAAGTGATGTCTCCATTAAAACTGATTCTCATAGTGTATTTAGTTGGTTAAATTCTGAATTGACTCGTGACAAACCTGTGAAATGTGCTGGGCAATGCGAAATGTTAATTCGAAGAAGACTTCAAATATTTGAAAAACTGGTAGAGGATTATGTCATAAATGTAACTGTTAGATGGGTACCAACAACTAAAAATATTGCAGATGAACTCACAAGAGTGCCAACAAAATGGATAAAAAACAAAGTTGCAACACAAGAATGTAATACCATTTACAAGTACGATAAACAGCAGATTCGAAAAATTCATTCACTAGCACACATGGGAGTTTCCAAGAGTATGGAGTTATGTATGCGCGCTGGTATCCACGTTACCAGAGACACAGTGAAACAGGTTGTCGCTGAATGCAATGAATGTAACTCGATTGACCCTAATGTAATGTTTTGGGATAAAGGAAATCTTGTTGTCAGCAAAGTATGGAAAAGAGTAGCCTGCGATGTTACTCATGTTGATTCATCGCTATATCTCACTTGTATTGATTGCGGCCCAAGCAGATATACGTTATGGACACCATTAAGCGACGAAAGTGCAACTATGGTTGTTCAAGCGTTAGAAACAATATGGTCAACACTTGGACCTTCTTCTGAAGTTCTTCTAGATAACTCTAAGTCATTTAGATCTCAGCTTATGCAAACTATGGCTGCGAAATGGGAAATAAGGCTCATCTATCGAGCTGTTTAAAAACCATCGGGAAATGAAATAGTTGAAAGAGTTTATCGGACGATAAAAAGAACAAATGCAAGTAAAATGTGGGTATTCCCATGTCTGTATTTTCAATCAATAACGTTCCATCAAAACACAGCACACCTTTTGAAATATTTTGCCAACATCACAAACGAGTTCGAATTCCTGGAATCAATAAAGTCGAATCAACACAAAAGTCGATGACAGAGTGTCGTGAATGGAAAGTTGGCGACAAAGTGTGGGTGAAACCCAAGCACATAACGCCGTGTACGAAACGATGGCTGAAAGGAAGTATAGTGGCATTGCATAATGATTTAACAGCTGAAGTCGATGTCAACGAACATACGTTACCACAACATTTTTCTCATCTGCAACATCGCCGTGTAGA